GGATTTTGATGGCAATCTGTCACATGTGAATAGGTTCGGAATTTTCCAATTTGGCATCCTGTCAATGTTCAAGTTTCACATTTTAGAGCACTTTAAATTTTAGATTTTTCAGATTGGTGATGCTTAACCTGTATCACTACACATACATTAGACTCAAGTAATGAGTAGGTGGCAAATGGCAGGAGTTGCTCACTCACTGTTGGAGTGAAAGGTTATAATAAATGAAAGAAGGTAAAAATGATCCCTAATTGAAGTAGAGAGATGGCTAGCTGTAAAGAGCCAGTACCCACATGGAGGCTCACAACTGCCTAAAACTCCAGTTCCACAGGCTCTGACATCACTCTTGAACCACTGCGGCATGTAGTGGTACACAAAAACTCATTCAGGCAAACACACATACAAATAAAAATAAATATATCTTTTTAAAAAAAGCTAATCCACGAACATTGGTATGATTTCTGTTGCTCTGATAAACACCATAACCAAAAACATCATGGAGAGAAAAGGGTTTATTTGGCTTACACTTTCCAATCACAGTCCATCACTGAGGGAAGCCAAGGCAGGCACTCAAGCAGAGAAGAAACCTGGAGGCCAGAAATGATTAGCCATGGAGGAATGCTGCTTACCAGTTTTCTTTCCATGGTTTGCTCCCTTGTTATGACATACAACCCAGGACAACCTGCAAAGTAGTGGCACCACCCACAGTGGGCTGGGTCCCTCCTACATCAATCATTAATTAAGAAAATACCCCCACAAACATGTCTAAAAATGTGATGTAGTCAATTCCTTAACTAAAGTTCCTTCCTGTTAGCTGACCCTAGTTTTTGTCAAATTCACAAAACTAACCAGCATAATGAGATAACAGATTAACGTTAGAGACGTCGGTGGACTCATATTATAGCATGGTATTATAGTATTAGTGGTTCCATACAGATTAGAAACCTGTATGGATTAAATATAGACACATCTGTTTCTTTGCTGTCAGGTATAAGGATGACAGTGGTTAGCAATGAGCAAAGCCCACATTGTGGTTTTAAATACTATTTTCCAAAAAAGGAGACAAAATTCCTCCTGATTCATTTCAGGGCTAAGGCAGCAAATACACAAGATAAGACTTAAGTTATCTTTAGTGTCATAAAAGAAGTATTAGGGAATAAAAAATATTTCCCTATGTCAGTAGTATATCAAAGGGACACTGGATTCAATAAAAAAGTGTTTCTATAACCAAAGCTGATATAACCAGGCACCAAATGGCACATAGTAGCTAGAACATGGCTCACAACAAAGCAGCTGCCTAACCCACAATGCCCTGAGTTTAATCTCCAACACCAACAAAATAAAGAACAGAGTAGGGGAGGAGGAGGTGGCTCAGTGTGTCAAGTGCAAGCATTAGGACTTTAATTCAGATCCCTAGCACCCACAAAAAAACCACATGTGAAATCCCAGCATTAGGAGATAGAGATAGAGATAGGAGGAACACAGGTGCTCAGCAACCAGCCAATATGGTCAACTGGGGAACTCCAGCTTTAGTGAGAAACTGTCTGAAAAAATAAGGTAAGATGGAGAATGTGATAGAAGAAACTACCTTATGACAACCTTTGACCTCTACAAGCACATACATTGTGCAGACATATGCATACACATGCGCAAAAACGCATATGGTACATCACAGGCACACACACACACACACAATCAATGAGCCAAGGACAAAATAAATACATTTGAGTCAAAACTCTACTATAAATGACTCATTAAGCCAGCACTCAGGAGGCAGAGACATGCAGATCTCTGAGTTCTAGGCTAGCCTTGTTTACATGATGAGTTCTGTTCAATCCTTGGCTACATAGTGAGACCCTGACTCAAAAGATAAAAAGGCACAGATAAATACATGGGGTAGCGGATCTCTGATGCAGGTAATTCCAAATAATTTGTGAAGACACTGTACTGCTAAGGAGAAGCAACATTAATTGTTCACTCTTTGGATGTGGGCTATACAGATTTTCCAAAGGAGAAACCTGACATGCTTAATCAGGTGACCAAAGTTATGGTGGAAATTCATAAATTATGGTCACTGCACATAACCTTGATACAATATAATGAAAATGTATCTTATCTTTTATGTTCTTCTCTCCCCACCACCAAAAACAACAACAAAACCCCACTAATCTAATCACAAGAAAAATATCAACCCAGGGACTGTCTACAAAATATCTGATTAGTATGTATCAAAACTATCTGTCAACAAAAACAGAAAGTCTATGGCTGGAGTGATGGCTCAGTGGTTAAGAGTGTATGCCTTTCTTCTAGAAAACACTAGCAGGTCACAACTGACTAACTCCAGTTTTAAGGACTCTGATATCCTTTTCTGACATCCTTGGGCACCTATGTTCACTCACACACTCACACTCACACACTCACACACTCACACACACACACACACACACACACACACACACACACACACTGAAGTAAAAAAAGTCAGTTCAAGATTATCTCTCCTGCCCAAAGTAAGCATTCCTATAACTTAAAATGTTAGCTCTGACACATATGTCACATCACAAGCTAGAACTGAAGTAGCACAATAAACCTCACTACAAGGCCACTGAGACAAAATGAGGACCTAAAAGGACAGTAAGTGGCATCTGGAACTTTTTGTTATCAACCCTATAATGTGGGCTTCAGAAAGCAGCTCATTCTAAATTCTGCCTTTTAGAAGGTTATGCCTTAGCCTTAGTAAGACTCTATGAGTTTATATGCGCTATTAAATTCCCAATCTATTTTGCTACTACTTCTAAGTATAAAATGGAAGTAAAAGTAAGGATAGTATAGGGCTAGAGAGATGGCTCAGAGGTTAAGAGCACTGGCTGCTCTTCCAGAGGTCCTGAGTTCAATTCCCAGCAACTAGTTGGTGGCTCACAACCATCCGTTATGAGATCTGATGCTCTCTTCTGGTGTGCAGGCAGAACACTATACACATAATAAATAAATAATTCTTTTAAAAAAAAAAAGGTAATTACAGTGTGCTGGATAGTTCTGTGTCAACCTGACACACCTTGGAGATATCAGGGAGGAATGAACCACAATTGGGAAAATGACCCCATTGGATTGGGATGTGGGCAACCTTGTAGGGCATTTTCTTAAGTTAGCAATTGATGGGGTCGGGGTGGACATTGTGGGTGGTACCATCCCTGGGCTGGTGGTCCAGAATTCTGTGGGAGGGCAAGCTAAACAAGCCTTGAGGAACACGCCAGTAAGCAGCACTCCTCCGTGGCCTCTGCATCAGCTCCTGCCTTTGGGTTCTTGCCCTGCTTAAGTTCCTGTTCTGACTTCCTTAATGATAAACTGTGATGTGGAAGTGTAAGCTAAATAAACCCTTTCCTCCACAAGCTGCTTTGGTCATGGTATTTCATCACAGCAATAGTAACCCTAACTAACAAAGTTTATCATTTAGAAGTAATTTTTTAAATATTTATTTTTATTTATATGTATGTGTATCTATGCATGTATGTATTCAGGTACCAGGTACACAAAGAAACCAGAAGAGGGCCTTTGGAGCTGGAGTTACAGGCAGTTGTGAGCCATCTGACTTGCATACTGACAATTGAACTCAGGTCCTCTGTAAGAACAGCAAAAGTGCTCTTAGCTACTGAGCTATCTTTACAGGCCTAGAAGTAATTTTTTAAATTGTATTTATTACTTTATGAGTATGAGTGTTTTGCCTACATGTATATATGTGTACCACATGTGTGCCTGGTGCCTTTGGAAACCAGAAAAGGGTATCAGATTCCTAGGACTACAGTTATAGACAGTTGTAAACCACCATTTGGGTGCTAGGAATCAAAACGGGGTCTTAGACAAGAACAAGTACTTTTAACCAACAAGCTGACTATCCAGCCTTCCTAGAAAGAATTTTTAAAAGAACATTCGCATGTATTTAAGGCATGACAACAAATGTGAACAAATCTGTTATGTAGCAAAATTACACTACTCTAGCACACATGTTAAAAAACCTTACAGGTTCTAATGGCCCATATACGGTTCTATGATCAGCAGGTGGAATTCAACAATCTGTTCTAGCAAACAAAACCGGAGAGCAATGTATACCAGTATATGCTCTTCTTAATGTTTTAGTGGGGATGGTAAACACAACAAAATTTAAGTGATCAGTCTGGGGTCTGGTGAGATTGTTCAGAAAATAAAGGCACTTGCCACCAATCTTGTCAACCTGAGTTTCATTCCCAGGGCCCACATGATGGAAGGAGAGAACCAACTCTCCAGTTTGTGCTCTGACCTCCACATGCACATAAGTAAATGTACTTTAAAAAGAAGAAAGAGTAAAATGGTCAGTTTGGGCTAGGGATGGAGCTTGGTAGCAGAATGCTTGCCAGGTATGTACTCAAGCCACAGCACCTCAACAAACAAAAAACAATCAGTTTGCCAGGCGGTGGTGGCACATGCCTTTAGCCCCAGTACTTGGGAGACAGAGACAGGAGGATCTCTGTGAGTTTGAGGCCAGCTTGGTCTACAAAGAGCTAGTTCCAGGACAGCCTCCAAATCGACAGAGAAACCCTGTCTCGGGGTGGAGGTGGGGGTGAATCAGTTTGTCAGAAATGATGATAACAGTGATGCCTACACTTCTCTCTGAGAACAGAAGTCTTACTCAAGAATTAACTGGAACAGCCCAAGTAGAGTCAATTCAGACATCAAAATCACCACCAGTTATCAGATTTAAAACACCAATACGGTGCAGAGCTCCAATTTTCCTGAAGGAAGAAAAGTAAACACTGGGCAAGAAGCTTAGGTCTACCTCTAATAACTCATGTTCTTTTCCTTAGTATCTTAAGGGACTAGCCCTAGAGCAACAGAAGTATACTGCATTTTTGTGAAACTGCCAGTACCCTTTTATAAAGTAAAGGATTCACTTAAAGAGCAACAGCAGGTTAAGAGCTTACAACACTGAGACACTAGGTTATGAGAAACAGCAATTTGACTGTACTTACAAGAGTTGTGCCGACGACGGAAGCTTTTGGACTGACTCAAGGACTCCATGTGCCTGTCCACGTAACTCTTTGAGCACTGCTGCTGCTGAGGAGAAACGGCAACATCCTGGCTCTTCACATCTGTCCTCTTAGGGATGTTCTGAGGGGCACTACTAGAAGAGGTTGGCTTCTTGACCACCTTGCCTGTACCATTCTGACTGACACCCACTTGGTACCCAACACCAGAAGAGCCTAATTCTGTCTGATGAAGGTCTCCAAACTGTTGGTTGTCTCCAGGACCTGGTATCTCCAGGATTTTTAATTCTGTAATATCACCTGCCCTGAAATACACAAAAGTCCAAGCCTTAAAATTATAACAGTAATAGGAAAATTGTAAGGATGAAACTGAGATTAATGGAAATCAGCTACCCCTCTGCAAAGCTACACTCAAGGAGTTGTCAGCACTTAAAGACAATGCTCAGCCACCAACTTTCAACTCATACCCTACTGGCCTTTAGAGAAAGACAGCTGTTAATAACAAAACTCTATAGCCATCTTAGATTTTCAGATGTTAGTGGCTTTTTAAATTCTTTCACCCACTTGCTCATTCAACAAGCATATATAATTTCCTTACTAAGTGGTAAGCCCTGGCTAGGAGCAGGATGCACAAAACACAGGACATACTTATAAACAACTCAGTCTGAGCACTGGAAAAGACACTATTTAAGCTATGTCTAGGGTGCACACACTGGGAAACAGTAAAAGCATATCAAGCAGAAAACAGTAGGGAGAAAGGCATTTCAGCCAGAGGGTCAGAAATGAAAATGTGATGTCATCCCCAGGAAGAACTGCCAATGTTGTCTATGGTATTACATAAGGAAAGAACGCTTGTAGAGGCCCATCAGGAAGATAAAGTGATAACCAGGGCCCAAATCACGAGCATAATGGGCCTTTCCCATGGCAATAGGGAGGAGGGAGAAACCAGGAGGACACTGTGGCTGCTGTCTGAACCCTACATCTGGGAAGCAGGATCATCACAATTTTGAGGCTAGTGTGATTTACATAAAGAGTTAAAAGACAGCCAGGACCACACAGACCTTGTCACAAAAAGAGTCAGAAAGAATCCTATTCTTGGGGGCTGGAGAGATGGCTCAGCGGTTAAGAGCACTGACTGTTCTTCCAGAGGTCCTGAGTTCAATTCCCATAAACCACATGGTGGCTCACAACCACCTTGAATGAGATCTGCATGCAGGCAGAAGACTGTATACATAATAAATAAATAAAATCTTAAAAAAAAAAAAAAGAAAAAAGAATCCTATTCTTTTTCTAAAGCCCTCTCCTGCCACGTGGCTGTCTGCTACCATGTGGAGGACATCCATGCTGGAAACTCAAATGGCATAGCTTTTTTCCTTTTTTACTCCACTGGGTAGCTGCTGAGGTAGGGATTTTCTTACAAACTCTAAAGGGAAAAATTTATTATGATTCTTAAATTTTCTTTTTAAGTTTTTTTTTTTTTTTTTTCTTGGAGCCCGACATGGTGGTATGTGCTAACAGATCTCTGTGAGTCCAAGGCCAGCCTTGTCTATATAGTAAGTTTCAGGCTTTGCAGCCAAGTCTACATTTTGAGACCCTGTTTCAAAAACAATTTTTTTTCCTTGGGCTGCAGAAATGGTTAAGAAGACTGGCTATTCTTCTAGAGGACTCACGCTGTCTATAACTCCAGTTTCATGGGATCCAACAAACACTCTCTTCTGGCCTCCCTGGGTCCATGCATACATAATATATATAACACAGGCAGATACTCATACAAATAAATTTTAAAACTTTAAAAATACTGTCTATATTTATTTATTCATTGCATAGGGGACAGTGAAGATGGGAGTACAGGGTGTCACAGTGTGCACATGAAAGTCAGAGGACAACTTGAAGGAGTTGGTTCTGGGGATTGAATTCAGGCTGTCAGGCTTATTGGTAAGCACCTTTACCTGCTGAGCCATTTCACTAGCCCAATCCTTAAATTTCTACTTTGGTGAATGGTGTTAACATGAGATCTCTGGAAGAAGAAACATGCAAGTAAACAGTTGTCCAGCTTGTAAGTCTTCAATTGAGGACATCTTATAGAATATTCAATTGGGAAGGACCAGGAGACAAAATATCTACAACTCACACAATGAATTTCAAAGGACAAAGGTCTGAGTTCTTACTAAAATACATAAAAAAGTACACAAGATTATGTAGAGTCCAGCTTAAACAGTGAGCTGTAGCACCATACTGAGTCACATAAGTGAACTCAGGGTTTTGAAAAACTTGGCAATAGTAAAAGACCCCTGAACATGCAATGACCAAAACTGAATTCAAAATCAAACATATAATAAATCCAATGTGTTTCTGTATGCTGTGCATGTTGTCATGCCATCCAACCTAGTATCACTTCCTCAAACACCTCAGCTCAAATTTGAGACTATACTGCACATTATAAATTGCAGGGTTTCTACTCTACAAAGACTGTTGGTCTTGTAAAAACATAATAGTTTTATCATGAAAACAAAGACATTCAATATCTTCCTACTGTCATTTCTCAGTATGTAAATATCAAATTAGCTAATTTCCTAATTGTATAGTGTTAGAAGTATGATAAAGATTGCTGCTTGAGCCGGGTGTTGGTGGCACATGCCTTTAATCCCAGGCAGAGGCAGGCAGATCTCTGTGAGTTCGAGGCCAGCCTAGTCTACAACAGCTAGTTCCAGGACAGCAGCCAAAGTAACAGAGAAACTCTGTCTCAAAAAACTAAACAAACAAACAAAAAGATTGCTGCTTGAGTTACTCAAAGTTTCATAAAAAAAAAAAAAAAAAAAAAGGTCAGGCAGTAATGGCTCACACTTTTAACCCCAGCACTCGGAGGCAGAGGCAAGCAGACTACTGATTTCCAGGTCAACCTGGTCTACTGGACGAGTTCCAGTACAGCCAGGGCTACGCAAAGAATCCCTGTCTCAAACAAACACAAAAAAAAGTTGGGCCGGAGAGATGATGGCTCAGTAGTTAAGAGCACCTATGGCTCTTGCAGAAGACCTAGGTTCTATTCCCAGCACCCACATAGCAGTTCACAACTGTCACTCCAGTTCCAGGTGGATCCAATGTCTCTTCTGAGCTCCTAACTCACACAGTGTACACACATACACACATTAAATAAGACACAGAATAGATGAAATAAGGTCTCAAAAGAGGAAGAGTTCATCTCAAGCACAAATGAAAAGGACCAGTCCAAACACAAGGGCTATTTGCAGAGACCACAGAGATAAGCAGTAAAGAGAAGGTACGCCTGGGGTTAGTTTGATGTCAACAGTGAAGAGCACCTACTGCAATTGGCTGTGGTGCACACCTTTAATCCCAGCACTCAGAGAGGCAAAGGCAAGCCAATCTGTGAGTTTGAGGCCAGCCTGGTCTATAGAGTTCCAGAACAACCAGGACCACTTCAGTTCTCAGCAGCCACACTGGCCTATAACTCTAACTTCAAGGCATCCAACCCTCTTCTGGCCTCTGCAAGTAACTCAGCATACCCCAGACACAAATGTATATTTGTGTGTATAATTAAAACTACATAATTAAAAATAATCTAAAAAAAAGTAAAATAAAATTTAAAAAAACAAAAATATAGGTACTCAACCAAAAGGTTGTATGGGCAAAAATATGAAGGAATTGCTCAGAAAAATCAGGAAGCTCACACCTGACAGCCTATTTGGGAATATAAATATAGGAGGCTGACTCTCAAAGTGATGAAGACGGGAGGGAATGTGAAGATGAAACTAAATGAACCCTATTGACAAATATTAAGAAAAGAACCACCGGGTGTTGGTGGCGCATGCTTTTAATCTCAGCACTCGGGAGGCAGAGGCAGGAGGATCTCTGTGAGTTCGAGACCAGCCTGGTCTACAAGAGCTAGAACTAGGACAGCCTCCAAAGCCACAGAGAAACCCTGTCTCAAAAAAAGCAAAACAAAACAAAACAAAAGAAAAACGAAAAGAAAAGAAAAGAAAAGAAAAGAAAAGAAAAGAACCACCTGTAACTAAGGACTTTAGTTACTGGCTACAGTGTGCTCCTGAGGATAAATCACACAAATTTAAAAAGACACATACATTTATGCTAAAAGGAAAAAAAATGATTTTACCTTTGATGCAAGAAAGCACATATAATACAATACTGAAAAAAAGACATTATAAAAGTTATGCTGAATTTAAATAAAATTCCTTGTCTAACAGAGGTAATTAACAGGTTTCACAACCCTAAATCATTAGCTTGAAACTGTATTGTAACACAAATTCTCCACTGAGAATAGCAGCAGAACTCTAAGACACATAAGATTATGAACTCTCCTTCCTGACAAGACTCAATGCAAAACAGAGCCCAGTGGAAAAAACACTGTCAATCAGACCACCAGGCTGGGATTTTGAGTGTTAATCAGGACACTTACCGAAAGGTGACTTCTGGTACAAGACACTTCACTCCATTGTGGAAGGGCCGAGTAAGAGAAATGGTCTGACTGACCTGATCCACTGCTGACACTCTTCCCTGATAGACACCCAAGCTATCTCCACAGTTGATTGACACAATACTGCCCAGCCAATCCATAGCCATGATCCAGATGTGGAGTCACTGTGAAGAGAAGGGGCCGTTTAGTGCACCTTGAAGAAAAACTTAAATCAGGAACTATGTCAGGTTCTCTGTACTTAGTGCTATTTGATGATGCTCCGCCGGAAGTGATAAAGCATAAAAAATAAATAGACAACTTTGGTAAGAAGAGAGGCATAACGGCACACACCTCTATTTTATTTTCTACTTTTGTTTTATTGTTTTGAGACAGGGTCTCACCATGTAACTGGCTGGCCTAAAACTAGCTACATAGATGTCAAACTCACAAAGATCTGTCTGCCTCTGCCTCCTGAGTGCTGAGTTAAAGTTATATATCATATAAAGTTATATAAAGGTGTTTTCATGCCCAGCTGAAAACACCTTTAGTTCCAGTGTTGAGGGTGTGGAGGGGAGACAGAGGCAGATGGATCTAAGTTGAGGCCAGACTGGTCTACACAGAGAGTTCTAGGTCAGCCAAACCACACACTAAGACTCTGTCTCAAAAACCAAAACCAAAAACTTTTTTTAGTAGAGACATGCAAATTAATACACAATATTGATATATGTATACACAGACCATGTAGATACCAGGTGGTAGTGGCACATGCCTTTAATACCATCACTCCAGAGCCAGGGAATATCTATGAGTTTAAAGCCAGCCAGGTCTACAAAGTGAGTTCCAGGAAAGCCAGTGCTACACAGAAAAACCCTGTCTCAAAAAAACCCAAAACAAAACAAAACAAAAAAACAAACCAACCAACAAACCAAAAACCCCAAAGACCACACAGTTGTTTTAGTGTATGCACTACAGATAACAGCACAAAATCTTTCAAAAGAGAAGGCTGGGGATGTGACCCAGCAGCGGAGGAGTATTTGCCTCGAAAGCACAAAATTCTGGTTTTAATTTTTAGCACCATCAAAACTTTTTTAAAAGTTAAAAAGCTGAACAAAAAGGGTTGGAGGGAAGGCTCAGCAGTTAAAAACACTGGCTTCTCTTTCAGAGGATCCCAGTTCAATACCCAGCATACACACTGATTCATGTCTAACTCCAATTCCAGGAGATCTGATGTCCTTTACTGGTCTTTTCAAATACTGCACACGCATGATGCACAGAAATACATTCAGGTAAACACTCATACATGTAAAAATAAAGTAATTTTACTTTTCAAGACAGGGTTTCTCTGTGTAGCATTGTAGACCAGGCTGGACTCAAACGCAAGTGTGTGTATGTTTAGCAGGAGATCAAACCCACAGCCTGTGCCTGTCCCTAGGCAAGCTGTTACTGAGTTACATCCCTAGCACAGGACAAATATTGAGGCATTCTTTTCTTTCTTTCTTTCTTTCTTTTTTTTTTTTTGTTTGTTTTTTGAGACAGGGTTTCTCTGTGTAGCTTTAGAACCTGTCTTGTAGACCAGGCTGGTCTAGAACTCACAGAAACCCCCCTGCCTCTGCCTAACAAATTGCTATCTAGTTATAATCCAAATAAAAGAGTATCACTACACAGAAAAACAAACAAAAAATCCTAAGGCAGGGCCTCACTATGTAGCCCTGGCAGGCTGAAACGCAAGACCACCCCCCCCCCCCCCCCCCCCCCAGCTACGGGGTACTGTAATTACTGGTATGCACCATGACATTTGGTCATCCAAAATTTTTCACAGCAATCCCCCATAGAGCTATGACCTAAATATTACAAGGGGCTCCACTGTGTCTCTATAAAGGTGCTGCTATTCTGACATCAGGAAAGATCAACCTATGCTGTTTTAAAACTTCACACAAGTGGAATCACGCAGTTTCATGTGTCTGGCTTCCTTTCATCAACAGTACATCTGTAAAATTCAACTGTTGCATGAAGCAAAAGCTAATTACACTGTCTGTACTTTATTATTTAGGTATACCTCAATTATTTTAGCCTGTCTACCAAGATAAACAGCTGGCTTATTTTCAGTTCTAAGTTCCATTCTAAATAACTAACATTTCTTTCTTTTTTTAAAAAAAAAAGATTTTATTCATTTTGTATACAGTCTTCTGCCTGCATGCTAGCAGAGGGCACCAGATCTCATTCAAGGTGGTTGTGAGCCACCATGTGATTGCTGGGAATTGAACTCAGGACCTCTGGAAGAACAGTCAGTGCTCTTAACTGCTGAGCCATCTCTCCAGCCACCCAATAACTAACATGTCTACATGTGTTCTTGTTCATATTACACAGAAAAATCAGAGTCACAATTGTATTTGACTGTATTAGAAACTGCCAAGTAGAGTCAGGTATAGTGAAATACACTTATAATTGCAGTACTCCAGAGGCTAAAGCAACTGGGCCCAACACCCAAACCAATAATACTTGGTAATTAAAAAGCCAAGGCTGGTGGCAGCACAGGTCTTCAATCCCAGCACTCAGGAGGCAGATGCAAAAGGATCTTCGAGTTGCAGGTCTTTTGGGTCTACATAGAGAGTTCTAGGCCAGCCAGAGTTACACAGTGAGACTGTCTCCAAAAAAGGTAGTTCTTTGCCCAATACATACAACAAAAACAAAAAACTGGGTTACACCTCAGGGCTCCAGGTGAGATACTAACAGCTCGGGGTTAGTCATCTGTATTGTAGAAGGATTAAGGGCTCCTCTTAGCTCTGCAATTGGGAGACTGAAAATCAACTAACAAAGTTGGTGAGGGCTATTCCTCCAATACACACCAACACTCAAAACCACAGGTCAAGTTTTACTAACAAATGCAGTCTCATCAGAGAAAGGACTGACAACTGGAGCAGTGCACTGAGAGCAGTTAACCGTGGGCACTGGCAGGGCATCGGTATCCATGTCCACATCCCTGCCTGTCACAGTTAGCAACCAACCACCACGTGGCACTCGCACTCTTCCCGACTATTAACCCTTGTGGCCAAAAGGAAATGAAGCAAAAAGAAGTGGATGAGAGAGAGGGGGGGGAGGGAGGAGAGAGAGAAAGAGAGAGAGGGAGGGAGGGAGAGAGAGG